ATATATAAATAATATATATATTTATTTATTTCTTATATATATAATATATGTATATTTGATTAGTTGTTTCAAAAAAAAAAGAAAAAAAAGGAAAATATTTCCAAATGTCCGAAGTTGCAGTTCAATCTATCGAAAATAAATCATCGATCAATTCTCGTTGTCATCGTTATTATACTCTTTGGTGTTAATCGACGAAACAGTAGGATAATAACCATTACACAAATGGCAAATAAATCACAACCCCCCATCAGAAATGTACAAATTGTTCGGTTGTCTGAAAACTGGTATTTAAACAATTAAAATCGATCGTTTGATAAACGAACTTTAAACAATATTACTTTTGCACACCTGTTTGTTTTAACCAAAAAGAAAAATTTTTAATGCGAACCTCGCAAAGATACAACGAAAACGTTTCCGAAACGGAAAACAATAGGATACAAAAACTTTTGCTATCCGAATATTGTGATTTTTCTGATACAGTACTCGTTGAATCACCATTCGCTGAAACTACAAGAGATGGACATGGTTTGAGACAAGTAGCACTCGGTTTGACACCACAAAGATTGATCATTGCAGCTGATGTTTTCAAACAAAATTCCAATCATTTTCTTTGTCCGGTTGACCTGGATCCAAGCATCGAAAGTTTCGAACTAGTTTCTGTATATCCTTTGGATTATATTACATTGACAATATTCGCAAGAAGACACCGTAAAACTTTAAAAGGAAGGTACGTGTAATATAAAATACGCGCGGATAATATATTATTATATATTTATTTATTTTATTATATATATATATATATATATAACTTAAATTTGTATTCTACGTGTAGATAAAAGAGTGCATTTTAATTTAATATAAAAATCATTAAAATCTATTTGCTAAAAGTATAAAAAATATTTGCTGAAACTTTTCAAAGAAATGGCGAAGTTAAAAAAATTTGCAGTATCGCATTCTTTGCCATTTTATGAACCTTTGCAGATTGATTTATAACTAGATATTGTGTTCAACGCGTAGACAAAAGAGAGTACTTTAATTTAATATAAGTTTCATTTAAATCTATTCACTCTTTGTAAGTATAAAAAATATTTACCGAAACTTGACTATATATTGCAATAAAAAAAAGTTCGAAAAAAATTTTTTCATACTTATAGCAAGCGGATTTTAATGATTTTTATATTAAATTAAAGTGCATACTTTTGGCTACGCGTAGAATACCATATGGAGTTATAAATTTAGCATTTAAAGTT